ACTGAGACAGGAAAGTTGCTTGAGCCTGGGAGGCGGAGGCTGCATTGAGCTGAGGTCACGCCACTGCACTCCAGCCTGGGGAACACAACGAGATTTCATCTCAAAAAAACAAAAACAAAAAAAAACACAGCAAAGCCCATCCATTTATGAGTGGGTTTTTGTGCCACAACTGCAGAGGTGTCTGTGAGAGAGGCCATATGGCTCCCAAATCCTAATATTTATGATCCAGCCCTTTACAAGAAATGTTTGTCAGTCCCTGTTATAACTATTTAGGGAAAAGAAACACAAGCTACATACATACAAAAAAAAATAGGAAGAAGAAGCAGGCCAATCTCATACTTATCAGAATATAGAGGGAAATGCATTCACACTAGAAGACAGAATTCACAGAAGTAGCATTTCACCTTTTGTCTTTACAGAAGTATATTTGGCTGTTTTGTGAGACATTCTGGGGAAAAAGAAAAATAAAATAAATATAGATGGCAGAAGACAATGAAGAAGTCTGAAAGAGAAAGCATGTGGCCCAAGAATTCCAAAATCAGTGATTGCTTTCTACACGTAAACGCAATCGAAAGGCGCTCCCGGCCAGGCGCGGTGGCTCACGCCTGTTAATCCCAGCCCTTTGGGAGGCTGAGGCGAGTGGAGTGGATCACCTGAGGTCAGGAGCTCGAGACCAGCCTGGCCAACATGGTGAAAGCCCATTTCTACTCAAAATACGAAAATTACCCGGGCGTGGCAGTGCACGCCTGTCATCCCAGCTACTTGGGAGGCTGAGGCAGGAGAATCGCTTGAACCCGGGAGGTGGAGGTTGCAGTGAGCCGAGATCCCGCCACTACACTCTAGCCTCAGTGGCAGAGCAAGACTCCATCTCAAAAAAAAAAAAAAAAAAAATTAGAGTTCCTTCTAATCTATATAATTCAATCACCATTAAGACATTCTAAAAACTGAAGACTTACAAGGCCTTATCTTTATAGAGAGATATACACAGAGATGAGAAGCAGCTAGCACTCACCTACAGCCTGAGAGGTGAATGCCGCTACAATCTGCGGACTGGCTAGGGCCTCCAGCCTGTTCTTCAGTGCCTCCAAGTGCACACACTTTTCTGAGTAGTCTGGTGTATCAACAAGCATCATTAAGCTGTTCTGCATACCTGTTAGCTTGGCAGAAATCACAGCTATGTCCTGGAAAAGACCAGAATAGAGGATATTTATTTTAAAAGATCCCTACTGCCTCAATTGGGAATAGATAAAATACATGAAAAGGCAACTCATCAAGCAAGAAAATGGGGCTGGGCATGGTGGTGGCTCATGCCTGTAATCCCAGCACTTTGGGAGATTGAGGCAAGAGGATCCCTTGAAGCCAGGAGTTCAAAGCCAGCCTGGTTAACACAGCAAGATCCAGTCTCTACAAACAGTAAAAATTAGCTGGGTGTGGTGGTGCGCACCTGTAGTCCCAGCTACTCAGGAAGTTAAAGCAGGAGGATCACTTGAGCCTGGAAGGTGGAGACTGCAGTTAGCCAAGATCACACCACTGCACTCCAGCATGGGCAACAAAGACCCTGTCTCAAAAAAAAAACAACAAAAAACTGTACTCAAACAAATGCAGATTAAATTAAACAAGAAAGTGCCATTTTCCTGCTAACAAATTGGAAAAGTGTTTGAAAAATCATAATAGGAATTGTTAGTGAGGGTACAAAGAAAAAAGACCATCTGTCTGGTATCATAAATTTAAATTTATACTGTCTTTCTGGAAGGCTATTTAGCAATATGTGCTAAGAGTTTTAAAAACATTCACATCCAGGCAGGGCACAGTGGCTTACACCTAAAAATCCCAGCATTTCCAGAGGCTGAGGCAGGAGGATTGCATGAGGCCAGGAGTTCGAGACCAGCCTGACCAATATAGCAAGACCTTGTCTTTACAAAACATTTTAAGAAACTGGCCAGGCAGCCAGGCGGGGTGGCTCACGCCTGGAATCCCAGCACTTTGGGAGGCCGAGGCTGAAGGATCACCTGAGGTCAGGAGTTTGAGACCAGCCTGGCCAACATGGTGAAACTCTGTCTCTGCTAAAAATATAAAAATTAGCCAGGTGTGGTGGCACCCACCCATAATCTCAGCTACTCGGGAGGCTGAGGCAAGAGAATCACTTGAACCCAGAAGGCAGAGGTTTGCAGTAAGCCGAGATCATGCCACTGGACTCCAGCCTGGGCGACAGAGCAAGACTCTGTCTCAAAAATAAATAAAAATAGATATATTGTTGAATGAAAAAACAAACTGCAAAGCAGTGTTCACAATGAGCTTTGTGAGAAAAAAGGGGCAGGGAACATAAATATGCATGTGTGTATCTGGAAGGATGTGCATAAAGCTGGTAACAGGGCTTGTCTGTACAAGAAAAATTGGCCCCTGGCCAGGCGTAGTGACTCACGCCTGGAATCCCTGCACTTTGGGAGGCTGAGGAGGGCAGATCACCTGAGGTCAGTAGTTCAAGACCAGCCTGGCCAACATGGTGAAACTCCTTCTCTACTAAAAATACAAAAATTAGCTGGGCATGGTAGTGTGCGCCTATAATCCCAAGTACGCAGGAGGCTGAGGCAGGAGAATCACTTTAACCTGGGAGGTGGAGGCATCATGCCACTGTCCTCCAGCCTGAGCTTCAGAATGAGACTCCGTTTCAAAAGAAAAAAAAAAAAAGAAAAATTCAACGATTAAGGTGGGGGTCAGGGTTAGGAAAAAAACTTATTTTTGCAGTTTATTCCTGTTTAATAAATTTGTTCCCATATGCATTTGTAACTTTCTTAAAAAATTGACTGATAAATCATTCATTTTGCTTTACAATTGAGTAAGAGTTCTTCATAAGACATCATCTTACTTCATCCTTATATCCCAGGTCGAAAACATTACTATTTTCCACACTTTGCAGCCTCAGAAGGGGTCAATAACTCACCAAGTCCCCATGGTATATAAGGCTCCCCGCTCCCCATGTTCCATCCTCTCATTCATTTACCCCCAACCTTCTCTGCCTGTGCTGGTTTTTCTTTTTTTCTTTTTTCTTTTTTTTTGAGACAGGGTCTTGCTCTGTCCCTCAGCACAGTGGTATGATCATAGTTTACTGTAGCCTTCAACTTCTGGGCTCAAGAGATCCTCCCGCCTCAGCCTCCTGAGTAGTTGGAACTACAAGTGTGCAGCACCATACTTCGCTAATTTTTAAAATTTTTTTTGTAGAGATGGGGGTCTCATTATGTTGCCCAGGCTGGTCTCAAACTCCTCCTCAAGTGATCCTCCCACCTCAGCATCCCAAAGAGCTGGGATTCCAGGCATGAGCTACTGTGCCTGGTGCCTGTACATCTTTATCGAGACTTCTCCTGAACTCACTCTGTGACTAAGAGGCTTCAGTCACACAGACGGTGCAAGCTAAAGAGGCTGGAAACACACCGAGCAGCTTCAGATCTTCCCCACCCGGAGTCTGAAGGTTTCTGAATGCTGCTACTGGCTGTCAACTCTCCCTTACAGTTTCAACGAATGCTATCTCTTTTGCTTTCTCCAAACCTCAAGTTCTTGCTTAAATACTTTTCATAACATCCCCTAAACAAGAAACCTACCTGAGTCTTAAACGTCTCCTCAATATCAGCGCTCAACGTGCTCCACTTATCTGCTTCCTGAAGAGATTCGGCAGCAAGCTGCATTCTGGACTTCACCTGGTCAATTTCTACCAACACCTGAAAGAGACGTGAGGGGTGAAAAATGAAGGGGTAGGTCCTTTTTCTCCATCTGCCACCAGGGACTTGAAATGTAAGTATGGTGGCTTGCTCCTGTCTTTAGGGAGCTTCTGTCTCCCAAAACACCAATCATCTGGCTAAATTTATTCAGCAGTGCCGAAGAGATGAATCAGCTGAAAGACCCAAGCAAAAGAATAGTTTCGGGGGGGCCGAGCACAGTGGCTCACGCCTGTAATCCCAGTACTTTGGGAGGCCGAGATGAGAGGATCACTTGAGACCAGGAGTTCGAGACCAGCCTCGGCAACATGGTGAAACCCTGTCTCTACTAAAAATACAAAAATCAGTCGGGCATGGTGGTGCACGTCTGTGATCCCAGCTACTCAGAAGGCCGAGACACGAGAATCACTTGAACCTGGGAGGCGGAGGTTGCCGTGAGCTGAGATCACACCACTGTACTGCAGCCTGCACTCCAGCAACAGAGCGAGACTCTGTCTCAAAAAAAGAGCATGGTTTGAGTGCTGGGCAGAATCTTGAGTGATGGCTGGCCTCTCAAAACACTGTGCTGTTCTAAACCCTCTACGAGAGTGACCACCTTCCCAAAACAAGAATCACCATTTACGACAGGAGCCAAAATACCTGCATGGATTGAGATGTATCCTGTTCAAATTTTTTAATGTCCTCCTTGACAAGAATCATCTGTTCTTTCAGGAAAGATGCCTCCTGTTTTAGGGCTTCAACATCACGGAGCACTTTGGGCATGTTCTGGAGAGCCTGGTGACTTGTTTCTGTAGTTTAAAAAAAAAAAAAATCAAGAACAGCGATAGCCACAAAAGGTGAAAGCTGGACCAGTCACCAGTAAAAAATAGAAAACAAATCAGACAACAGAAAGGAAACACACGACCAACCAAACAGTTTTTGGAGCCTGTAGAAAATATGGGGCAGGAGACGAGATGGGTAGTGAGGTGGCCCCTGCCAGGATCACATCCCCAGACTGATGGGAAAGGGCCTTTGATTTCACAAGAAATGAACAATCAACCTGTCCCAACACCAACTTGCCACCACCAATGAAATCATAACTCCATTTGCAAGAAGGCATGCCCCAGGGGCTTTGCATACACTGTTTTACTTAATGTCCATGGCTGTCAGTAGCAGCCACTTCCTACTGATAAGAAAACTCAGAGAGGTTAAAGTAACTTGCCCAGGATCTTACAGAGCTAAAACTAAGCCTCACACGGGTCTGGCCCCACTGCCTGCTTTCCACGGTCTTTTTTTTTTTTTTTTTTTGATAGAGTTTTACTGTGTCACCCAAGCTGGAGTGCAGTGGTGCAATTTCAGCTCACTGCAACCTCTGCCTGCAGGGTTCAAGTGATTCTCCTGCCTCAGCCTCCCGAGTAGCTGGGATTACAGGCACCCGCCACCACATCTGGCTAATTTTTTGTATTTTTAGTAGAGATTGGGTAGAGACTGGGTTTCACCATGTTGGCCAGGTCACAAACTCCTGACCTCAGGTGATCCACCCGCCTCGGCCTCCCAAAGTGCTGGGAAAACAGGTGTAGCCACCACGCCTGGCCTATTTAAAAATTATTTTTGATACAGGGTCGCACTCGGTTGCCCAGACTGGAGTGCAGTGGCAAAATCACAACTCAACCTCCTGGCTGCAACCTCAGCCTCCTGGTCTCAGGTGACCCTCCCACTTCAGTCTCCCGAGTAGCTACAGGCACACACCACCAGGACTGAATAATTTTTATATATTTTGTAGAGACAGAGTTTCGCCATGTCGCCCAGGCTGGTCTCAAACTCTTGGGCTCAAGGGACCTGCCTGGCTAGACCTCCCAAAATGCTGGGATTACAAGCGTGAGCCACAACGTCAAGCCGAAAAATATCTGAAATCTACCCATTACTCATCATCTTCACCGCCATCACCCAGTTGAAGCCACTATCATCTCTTTTCTGGACCTCAGCAATAGCCTTCTGAACCATGTTACTCCGCTGCTTAAAAATCCTACAATGCCTTATTTTAAAATTAAATTCAAACTCTATTTATTTATTTATTGGGACAGAGTCTCCCTCTGTCCCCCAGACTGGAGTGCAGTGGCACAAACTCAGCTCACTGCAACCTCTGCCTCCTAGGTTCAAGCGATTCTCCTGCCTCAGCCTCCCAAGTAGCTGGCATTACAGTTGTGCACCACCACGTCCAGCTAATTTTTATATTTTTAGTAGAGATGGGGTTTTGTTGCGTAGGTCACGCTAGTCTCAAACTCCTGGTCTCGGGTGATCCACCCACCTCGGCCTCCCAAAGTGCTGGGATTATAGACATGAGCCACTGCACCCGGCCTTAAATTCAAACTCTTTAATGTGACACTGAAATCCCTGCATAGCACTCTAACCTGGGTGACAGAACAAGACCCTGTTTCTTAAAAATAAAGAAATAAAATAAAATCCCTGGCCAGGCGTGGTGGTTCACGCCTGTAATCCCAGCAGTTTGGGAGGCCGAGGCAGGCAGATCATAAGGTCAAGAGATCAAGGCCATCCTAGCCAACATGGTGAAACCTTGTCTCTACTAAAAATATAAAAATGAGCTAGGCATGGTGGTGCGCACCTGTAGTCCCAGCTACTCAGGAGGCTGAGGCAGGAGAATCACTTGAACCTGGGAAGTGGAGGTTGCAGTGAGTCAAGATTGCGCCACTGCACTCCAGCCTGGCGACAGAGTGAGACTCTGTCTCAAAAATAAATAAATACATAAAAATAAAAATAAAATCCCTGCATAACGTGGCCCCTGTGGACCTCTCCAATCCAACACTGGGTCTTGTTCAACAGTGTGTTTTTAGAACCTAGAAGAGTTTGTGCCCAATACAAATTTGTTGACTGACTAAATGAAGAAATCAGTCCTCCAATTTGGGGTCCTCAACATGTGCTTGAACAGCTACAATCAACTTTCTTCATCGCAGACTTGGGCCCTTGTCTCATCTTGCATAAAAATAAATGACGCTTTAAACCTATGAAGGCTACCTGCTGCCTAAGAAATAAAAGCCAAACTCGAAGAATCGCTAGAAAGGTCTTTCGCAGGCTGATCCCAATCTCTTTATCTACCTCATCTTCAGTTACATTTCCCCTACAAAAGTGTGATTCTCTAATAATAACACTACAAATTATCTTGTCTCACTCTGTCCCCCAAACTGGAGTGCAGTGGTGCAAACCTAGCTCACTGCAGCTTCGAACTTCTAGGCTCAAGCAATCCTCCAGAGTAGCTGGACTACAAGCACGAGCCACCATGCTGCCTAGTTTTTAAATTTTTTGTAGAGATAGGGTCTTGCTCCATTATCTAGGCTGGTCTGGAACTCCTGGCCTCAAGCAATGCTCCCACTTCAGCTTCCCAACGCACTGAGATCACACCCAGACCGTTTACTGATATTATTCATGCAGGTCTTTTTGAACTTATCACCTTTCCCTGGATTACGCCTTCTTATAGCCACACTCCTGTGTGTATGTTACTCTCTCTCTCTAATACCAAGGAAGTAGTGAAATATGATGGTTAAGGGCCTGGGCTCTGGAGCCAACTGTCTGGGTTCAGTCCAGGCTCCCCATTCATTAGGAACATGATGCTGAGCAAGTTACTTAACTTCTCTCAACCTCAGTTTCTACAAGTCTATACTGGGTATAATAACTGTGCCTACCTCTAAGGATAACTGTCAGGTTTAAATTAGATAACCATGCTCAAAAGCAGGTACTGTTCACATTTAGGCCAGGACAATTCTTCATTGTGCAGGATTGTACCAAGCACTGCAGGACATTAGGCATCACTGGGTCCTCTCACTGAATGTCCTATATCTGAATGTCACTGCAACGTTCCCCACTGCTACGACAACTGAAAAAAGCTCCCACAGGCCAGGTGCAATGGCTCATGCCTGTAATCCCAGCACTTTGGGAGGCTGAGGCGGGTGGATCACCTGAGGTCAGGAGCTCGAGACCAGCCTGAACAACATGGAGAAACCCCATCTCTACCAAAAATACAAAATTAGCCAGGCATGGTGGCGCATGCCTGTAAACCCAGCTACTCGGGAGGCTGAGGCAGGAGAATTGCTTGAACCCGGGAGGCGGAGGTTGCAGTGAGCCGAGATCATGCCCTTGCACTCCAGCCTGGGCAACAAGAGTGAAACTCCATCTCAAAAAGAAAAAAGAAAAAAAGCTCCCACCAATTTCCAAATATTCCCTGTTCCTGAGGACAGGAACAAGGATAAGGGGAGGCAAGGAGGGCATTGCAACCCATGTTTGAGAATCACTTGGTTAATACATATAGAGCACTAAAAAGAGTGTCTGACATGTAGCAAACTTCGTATATGTGCTATCATACCATTATTATTACTAGTATTATGTTTGAGACAGTGTCTTGCTCTGTCTCCCAGGCTAGAGTGCAGTGGTGGGATCTCTGCTCACTGCAACCTCTGCCTCCTGTGTTCAAGTGATTCTCCTGACTCAGCCTCCCGAGTATCTGGGACTACAGTGTATGTCACCACACCCACCTCTAGTTTTGTATATTTAGTAGAGATGGGGTTTTACCATGTTGGCCAGGCTGGTCTTGAACTCCTGACCTCAGGTGATTCACTCACTTCGGCCTTCCAAAGTGCTGGGATTACAGGCACAAGCCACTGTGCCCAGCCAATTTGCCATTATATTATTATTAATGTCCTTTCCTCTTTGTCCTACAAAGTTTTCCTTCAAGGTCTAACACAAGGGAAGTGCTTTATGATTCTCCTAAACAAGACGTAACTGCACCCTCCTGCCAGCTCTCACAACTCCAGATTCTATTCTGAGTAAAGCCACCCCTCACTGTAATTTACTGTGTTTCTATCTTCCCCATAGACAGCAAGCTCCAGCAAGATAAACTTTTCCTCCCCACTGTCCATTTCTGGACACATGCATAGTTGATGCTCAATAATTAGTAAAAGATGTAAGGTACAATAAAGAATATGGGCTGGGGATCACGAGGTCAGGAGATCAAGACCATCCTGGCTAACATGGTCAAACCCCGTCTCTACTAAAAATACAAAAAATTAGCCGGGCATGGTAGCGGGTGCCTGTTAGTCCCAGCTACTTGGAAGGCTGAGGCAGGAGAATGGCGTGAACCTGGGAGGCGGAGCTTGCAGTGAGCCGAGATTGTGCCACTGCACTCCAGCCTGGGCAACAGAGTGAGACTCTGTCTCAAAAAAAAAAGAATATGGGCTGGGAGCGGTGGCTCACACCTGTAATCCCAGCACTTTGGGAGGCAAAGGCTGGAGGATCGCCTGAGCTCGGGAGTTTGAGACCAGCCTGGACAACATAGTGAGACCCCATCTCTACACAAAAATAAAAAAATAAGCTTGGCATGGTGGCACATGCCTGTGGTCCCAGTTATTTAGGAGGCCGAGGCAGGAGAATTCATTGAGCCTGAGAGGTGAAGCTGCAGTGAGCACTGATCACACCACTGCACTGTGGCCTGGTTGACAAAGTGAGATCCTGAAAAAAAAAAAAAAAAAAAAGGAAGGAAAGAAGAAAGGAGAGAGAGAGCGAGAGAGAAAGAGAAAGAGAGAAAGAAAGAGAGAAAGAGAGAAAGAAAGAAAGAAACAAAGAAAGAAAGAAACAAACAAACAAACAAACAATCTGCAGTGAAATAAAGCCCCCTCCCTACCTTTTCTTAAACAATGGACATATCTGGCCAGGCGCAGTGGCTCATGCCTGTAATCCCAGCACTTTGGGAGGCCGAGGCGGGTGGATCACTTGAGGTCAGGAGTTTGAGACCAGTCTGGCCAACATGATGAAACCCTGTCTCTACTGAAAATACAAAAATTAGCCGGGTGTGGTGGCACACACCTGTAGTCCCAGATACTCGGGAGGCTGAAGCGGGAGAATCGCTTGAACCCGGGAGGCGGAGGTTGCAGTGAGCTGAGATGGTGCCACTGCACTCCAGCCAGGGGGATACAGCAAGACTTCGTCTCAAACAAACAAACAAAAATGGGAACATCTCTTGGACCATCCACTCCCAGTGGAAGCAGTCTGTTTGGTCTTTCCATCTGAGCCTAAGAGAGAGACTTGTGTGCAGTATGTACTGAATCAACACACGGTAAATAAAAGTCAAGTCGAGGCGTTATATAAAATGGTTGCCAGTGCATGTTATTTTTTATAATTTAACTTATCCTCAAAAAATGGTTTAGGCCAGGTGTGGTGGCTCACACTAGTAATCCTAGCACTTTGGGAAGCCAAGATGGGAGGATCACTTGAGGTCAGAAATTTGAGATCAACCTGGGCAACATAGTGCGACCTTGTCTCTAAAAACAATTTCTTTTTTTTTTAATTAGCCAGGCAAGGTGGCACATGCCTATAGTCCCAGTTACTTGGGAGGCTAAGGCGAGAGGATTGCTTGAACCCAGAGTTTGAGGCTGCAGTGAGCTATAATGGTATCGCTGCATTCCAGCTTGGGCAGCAAAATGAGGAATGAGACTCTGTCTCAAAAAAAAAAAAAATGGTTTAAGTCTCTACTGAGACCAGCCTATCTTCCTCAGCTGACATAAAATCCACCAAAACAATGTTTTCCAGATCTGTGTCATTCCCTTACACCTATACTATACTATTTTTTTTCCAGATATAAGGATCTGTTGGCTATTCCTTCATACTCTCAAAATTCACTTTTTTTTTCTTTTTACGTTTATTGTTTGGTACAAAAACAGGCTGCCTAACTCTTTGAATAAACATCTCATAGACTCGTGCTCCTAGATTACAAAAAGTCAAAGCCAATTTTCTTCGACACTGGGCCCTTGACTCTGACATTCAAGTCACCATAACAGAAACCAGAGCTGTTCTATCTTACGTTCTGGAAGGTGCCTCAACAAGACATGTTAAGAACTGGTTAAAACTTGTAGCATTTAAAAAGATCCATCTTGTCTTCCAATGCCTATGGATAATAACAAAAAGGGAATCCCAGAGATCTACTATTGAGTTAGAGAAGGACAACTGCAATAAGATCCACTCTTTTAAGTTCCAAAAGGAAACTTGAGGCCAGATGTGGTGGCTCACAGGTATAATCACCAGCACTTTGGGAGGCCAAGACTGGAAAACCCATTGTGCCCAGGAATTTGAATTTGAGACCAGCCTGGGAAACACAGTGAGATCCCATCTCTACATTTTTTTTAAAAAAACAAAATTTGCAGGCGTGGTGGCTCTTGCCTGTAGTCCCAGCGACTCAGGTGGCGAAAGGATCGCTTGAGTGCAGGAGTTCGAGGCTGCAGTGAGCTATGATCGAGCCACTGCACTCCAGCCTGGGCAACAGAACGAGACGCTGTTTCAAAAGAAAAAACAGAAAGAAAGAAAAGAAAAAGGAAACTTATAGCCCAGCCAGAGAAGGAAAAGCAACACCCAAAATTAGCAAGTGGACAAGACAGCCCGGCCCCCAGCTGAGACTCCCGCTGATGTGATCAGGACTTCGGGGCTTGTTCTCTCGCTGAGGGTATTTCCTGTCCATGCGTGCACCGCCCACCCGAGTGCCCCACCCAAGTTCGGTGACCTCTGCTCAGCCAAGAGCAGGGGAGGGTCCCGCGGCCAGGGCCCCGCGCGGCTCACCCTCCACGGCGTGGTTCACCTCTTGGATGAACAGCTGCAGCTTCATCACCAGGGTGGCTGCGTGGCCATCCGCCTTCCCGGACGCCGCCTCCTTGGAGCCGGCCCTGAAGGCCGCATTGATCCACTCCTTCACGTCGAAGTCGTCTGCCAGGAACTTGGAGAAGTCCATGGCGGCACTGTCTAAGGCCTGGCGTCCAGGACTTAAGAGTTGGCTTCGGGCGGCAACGGGGATGCAGAAGCGAGCGAGCCTGAGAGAGCACCGAGGCTAGCCTCCGAGGCGAACCCCAGAAACTCCAGGACCGGTAAATTGCCCCTTTGCGCTTCTCTGTTCAGCCCACTCAGGTTGCGGCTGGGAATGACCCTCGCCGCCCGCCGTTCTTCTTCCGGAAATCGTTGGCTGTTACCATAGCGACTGCGGGCGTCCGGAGCGCTGAGCAGAGCTGGTTGTGGGAAGAACGCCACGGACTGAGAGCTCCCGGCACCGACAAACATCCCACGTCAGCTACCATTTGCCGAGGACTAAACTATGTGCTTACTATAAAGCCCTGACATACATTAGCGCATTTATGCGGTGGCTTGCGCCTGTAGCTCTTTAGGAAGCTGACGCGGGAGAATCGCTTGAGGCCAGGAATTCGAGGACAGCCTGGGCAACAGTGGAGCGCATTGGGCAGCAATGGAGTGCGATTGAACGATCTTTGCTCATTGCGGCCTCAAATTCCAGGGCAATTGAACGATCTCAGCTCACTGTAGCCTCAAATTCCTGGGCTCAAGCGATCCTTCCACCTCCGCCTCCAGAGTAGCTGGGACTACAGGCGCGCGACCACACGCCCAGCTCTCCCTCTCCCTCCTCCCTCTCCCTCCTCCCTCCTCCCTCTCCCTCCTCTCTCTCCCTCCTTCCTCTCCCTCTTCCTTTCCCTCCTCCTCTCTCCCTTTCCCTCCTCCTCTCTCCCCTCACCTTCCCTCCCCTCTCTCCTCCAAGTCGTGACCGGAGTCTTGCTCTGTCGCCCAGGTTGGAGTCAGGTGACGCAATCTCGGCTCACCGCAACCTCCGCCTCCCAGGTTCAAGCGAGTCTCTTGCCTCAGCCTCCAGAGTAGCTGGGATTACAGGCGCGTGCCACTACGCCCGGCTACTTTTTGTATTATTAGTAGAGACGGGGTTTCACCATGTTGGCCAGGCTGGCCTCGAACTCCCAACCTCAGGTGATCTGCCCGCCTCGGCCTCCCAAAGTGCTGGGATCACAGGCGTGAGTCACCTCGTCCGGCCTAATTATTTTCTTAATTATGTGTTTTTAGGTGCAGACCTTTTAAAGTTTGATTAAGTTCCTTATCACCGGCCGGGCGCGGTGGCTCAAGCCTGTAATCCCAGCACTTTGGGAGGCCGAGACGGGCGGATCACGAGTTCAGGAGATCGAGACCATCCTGGCTAACACGGTGAAACCCCGTCTCTACTAAAATACAAAAAAAATTAGCCGGGCGAGGTGGCGGGCGCCTGTACTCCCAGCTACTCGGGAGGCTGAGGCAGGAGAATGGCGTGAACCCGGGAGGCGGGGCTTGCAGTGAGCTGAGATCCGGCCACTGCACTCCAGCCTGGGCAACAGAGCCAGACTCCGTCTCAAAAAAAAAAAAAAAGTTTTTTAAATGGATCATGCTTTTGGTGTTACAACTGAGAAATCTGTGCATAACCCACAGTCATAAACAATTTCTCAGCCTGGGCAACATAGGAAGACCCCGTCTCTGCAAAAAATTTAAAAATTAGCCAGGTCTGGTGGCGTGCGCCTGTAGTCTCAGCTACTCAAGAAGCTGGGGTGAGAGGATTGCCTGAGCCCAAGAGGTCGAGGCTGCAGTGA